TTCTATTCTTTTCGTACCCGACCGGAGCACATCTTGTACTTAACTGTAGCTAAGCAAGCACGTCTACAAGTTACAAGCAAAATGCTTTTTTAAGGCTCTGTGCCTTATAAGATTAACATGTTACTAATAAAAGCCCTCGTATCTAATAATGTATTTTCCACACAAGCTAGCCAGAATTATATATTCATGCTAGTGTTAACGGCACCTAAAACACATTTGTGGCACACACATACTAGACATTTATAGTATCTAACAAAAACAGGCACAATGATGACAATAATTGAACTAAAATCACAATCAGAAACATCAGGGTGGATAAATATACATTATATTGTGTTGTACAGTGTCTGGAAAGAAATGACACCAACCTTTCTCACAGGCGAATTGTAGAAAACGGGAGAGGCCAAAGGGGTACACTGTATTTATAGGGTTGCACCAAAGAAGAAGAACAATGAGGAGGGGCTCTAACTGATAAAGAACATAACTACAGGCTTGAAGGTCCAAAAAGTCAGGTATAAACTGGCAAATAAAATTTGTGGTCTACAACACATTTTGTGTAATTGTAACAATATGTAATTTATGGCCCAGTTACATTGACATTGAGTTTAGTTGATTTAATATTTAGATGAGTATGACAGATACACAAGACCAAAAAAGACTGAAGCAAGAAGCACAACAAGACAGATGAAACAATAAACACAGTTTTCGTCCTCCAAATTAGAGTACCTTTCTGAAAAGGCAAAAGCATCGTTTTGACGACTCTGTGAGCTATGGAGCACATCATGCTGATGTGTGTTGTATCACAATAAACAACAACAGTCCAAGACAAGCGAGGTCACCCCACGTGTTTCTTATCTCTGATAGCTGGGAGTCATCAGCGTTGCTTCTATAGCGGTTTCTGAGAGACATCAGTAAATTGATGTCATCACTGTCCATGGGAAACCTCCTGATCGCTCTTAAGAGGCTAGTAGTGATCCCATATGTATGTTGTGGATCATACGCTGTCCATTGATATCCAGCTGCCTCATAATGCTGTGTGATATAGACTTGGTCTATTATACGTGAAGTTCGCCGTCTCACATTCTGCTCCCTGACTCTGATTATGATTCGAGCCCTGTTACCGTCCTCTTGCTCTGATTGGATGACATGAGGTGGAAGTTGCAATGATCCTTCTCGATGGATATTACCAAGACTGTAGTACTGATATCCCCTCGGCAGTGGCTCTAACAGCTGTTCATCGTTGCGATATTGATGTGAGCCATAATCACGATGGTTTGGGCCAAAGGTCAGACGTATGTCATCATTTGTGTTGATGTCAACTGTGTTGGCAAACCAGTGGAGGAACCGGAGGCAGTCGTCTTGGGCAGATGTGTCAGAGCCTACTGACCTCAGATGAGTGATTGAGTTGAGCTTTCTTACAGCTGACACAGAGCTGAAGGTCAGGAGGAGAGCCACACAGCAGCTCATCATTCTTCCAAACATCTTCATCCTGTAGAGATTTAAGAAGTTGCTGTTTTTATTGTTTATGCATACTTTATATTCTGACACTCATTATGTGATTTATGACCAAGTGAAACAATTATGTGATGACTGCATATTGTGATTAATAGGATAATCATGATTAAGACGGCTTTAAATGTATTCCTAGTTTATAATTTGATAGCCATTCAGCCACACAAACTCTGAAACAGGTTTTACTTGTTTTTCTCCTCTCTGGTTTATACCATCTATTATGGGTTGGAATTGCATTTTAAAATGTTGCTTTCTTCAACTGAAATCAAAAGTTAGTTTTTTGATTAATTGTTAGGAGAGGCTTTTTATTAAGAAAAGTTATTTTCTTATTTTCTTTTTCTTTTTTCCCACTTAGCCATTACACTTCTGTTAACCCATAATTTTATTTATTTATGTTGTCAGGTGGTTTCATGATACTCACTTCTCCATGTGTCAGAAAGTTAAACTAATAACATCAAAACAAGATCATTTTGCACTTGAATGAGTATGCTTGTAATTTAAGAGAAAGTGGACAAAGTACAATCTATTTCATCTTATCTTTAAATATTTTGTCATTGGTAGAATAAATGGAGCATTAGAAAAGAGGGTAAAGTCATGGGAGTGAAAATAAAGAAAATGAGAGAACCTGTGTAAGTCTGCTGCTGCTGTTCGTGTGAGGACAGTCGTAGCTCCCTTATGCTTTGCTTTTCTTGTAAATAGAACCAGACCAACAAGTTTTGCTAGTTGATAAGATGAAGCTTGGTAATCTAGCCATTTTGATGAGAGTATTAAAGAGCAACATCATCATGGATTTAAGTGTTTCTAGTTTAACAGTCGCGTAAAAGCGGATTATTGATAATTTTATGAGCAGGTTTAAGATTAAACATGGACGTGTCTGCAGGGTGAGTGACGCAGTTGTCGCCATAATAAACTTGTTAGTTGTCTCTTAGCTCATTTTTATTTCCACAAATGCAAATAGGCCTACAGTAGCCAAAAGCCTAATTTTAAACACTACTATAATGATACTGTATCTTACATAAAATTGATTCGTGAATTACTTAATAAAAATGCTATGAAAACTATTACTATTTGTACTAATTACAAATTATTTTTATGTATTTAACTTTTTATATCAAGTTTAAAAACAAAACAAGGAGGTCGAGGCACGATGTGCCGGGAGTGCGGTGTTCCCCCCGCACTCCCGGCACATCGGGAGCGCACTTCCGACGCTCGACCTCAGCTTCGAGCTGGTGGGTAACAGACGTCTCCAAAAACGAGCACTTTTACAAATATGCGCAAATATGTCTTGATGAACCGATCAGATATTTGAAGGTTACACAGCTATATTCATGCCTGAAAACATATTAAACGTTTATCTTATAAGTTTATTAAAAGTTGATCTCACAATAGTTTTGCGATCTCGCAAAAGTTCATCTTATTTTTTTCTCCCATGTCCCAAGTGGCCACTTCATTGTATCTTTAAATATAGAAAAAAAATCCTGCATTAGGGCAAAATCATGTGAGTAAGTGAAAAGGAATCCACCAGTAAACTTACCTTTGTAAGTCTGCTGTTGTTTGTGTGAGGACAGTCGTAACTCCCTTTAAGTTTTGCTTTCCTGGTAAATGAAACCAGAGCAATAAGCTCCGCTAGTGGCGAAGATGAAGGTTGACAATCCAGATATTTAGATGATTTGTTTGGTCATTCAAATTTCCTTATTTAAAGGTTACTGTCATCATATTAACAAACTTTAAGATCCCTACATAGAAAGATGTGATTACTAAATTACTGGATCGGATATTGGAGAGAAATAAAAAATGTAATCCGATCCAAGAAGAAAAGCACCTCACAAAACTTGCGACATGGCATAACTCGGCTCATAACCGTAGCACGTCGGAGAAGTATGCATCACGTGATAGAGCGGCTGTGGGGTGCGAGACCTGTCGGGGTCTGGTTCAGCATTTGGAGCCTCGATCGCTACCAAACCGGCACTCTCTTGTTTGTTTATCGCCCACTTCGCGCCAGAAACAACAGCAGCACGTTTAACCTTGATAAGCTGTTGTTAGAATTTATTTAATAT